CATCTCCTACAGATGGAGAAACAGGCTATGAGAATTTAAAAGATGTCTCCATGACCTATTACCACCAAGTGATGAGTGCAGATTTGAATCATACTACCCCCTGTAAGCCTTACAACAATGCTGTGAGATGAGTATTATTCTTATAGATAGGGAAGCTGAGGCTAAGCAATTTAACCAATTTTGCAGCTAGGAAGTAGCGGGGAAGAGAAGTGAATCCAGAATGGCCTAACTTCAAAAGCCATGTTCCAGGTTACTTATCGGCATAAGTGAAAAGTTTTATAAGGTGGAAGAAAAATCACCAGCTTAGATTTACATCCCTGCCCTGCCACATGTTAGCTGGGTAATGTTTAGCATCAATTTCCTTACCGGTGAATTGAAGACAATGATATGCATATCATACTTAAGGCAGTTGTAACAATTTAAATAATGGCATAAAGTCCTGCCACAAAGTAAGCTCTTTATAAATGTCAGTTGTTCTCTCTTCTTAATATTATTCTTCCCCCACTGTCTCCTACCACATGTTAATTTTACACTCACAAGATTCAAACAAGCAGATGTACTTTATATCTCTGCATATAACTTACTTCCCTATGTCCTTCTCCAAAGCATGTAATAGTAATTTGGAGAGCTCTGATTTTTAGAAGGTCTGCATATTTATTTCTTCCAATTTTCAAAAATATATGTGGATACCACAGAACAATTATTTTCAGCACTAACAATGTTACTACGTAAGAAACTACATCTGATGTAGCATTAGAATGAAACTTATCAAAATCAGAATTCCTGCAACCAATTAAATAAAGGCCATTTAAATATTTTCCTAGATAGTATTGTACTCTCTCTGACACAAATGTCAAGTTATGCCAAGTTGTGTAGACACAAATTACCTTAACGTTTATCAGATAATTATTTTACTTTGTAGAAGTCTGTAAAATTATTTTACTTTTAGAAGTCTCAGTCTGAAATAATGGAAATCAAGTACAGATGCACGCAATTATAGGTTCAAATAAAACCCAAAATTTTTCTTGGAGTTCATAAACAAGAATGATGAATGGTTCATGAGTCATTGCAGAGATCATTTTGGCTGGACCAGGACCATGTAATTAACTCTAAAGTTAAGTGGTTCTTGGACATGAAAATATGAGGAATAATTATTAACTATGTAATCAGAGACATCTCTAAATTTTCCAGTTTGATTTAGTGCCATCCCTTATTATCCACATACAGGGCTTTAATCCCCTGTATTAAGGATTATATTCTTCATTCAAGAATGATATTCAACAAACACACTGGGTAATCATTGGCTCAGTAAATGACAGGAATGTATGTGGGGCTTAATGAATAAAAGGAAATATTCACTAATCTCTTCTTGAGCACCTATTATGTGCAAGAATTGTGCTAGATTCTAGGAATACCAAATAAAGTTAGGCATTAAATTCCCCCAAGAAATTTACAGTCTAGTGGGAGATACAAACAAATAAATTGATTACTACAATGTGCAAGGTTCTCACAGACCCAGGCACAATGGGCACCTAAACACATATGCTACAGTCACCATGTGGTCAAAATATAAAATAGAGTTTATTGGTGACAAACTTGCTTGCAGAGGGATAGTAACCACATAACGCTCTGGGTTCTCATTTTGCCATGTAGTGGTGTGCTTAAGCCAGCCACAGCAAGACTGTGCCCCTGAAACACTCTTCATATTCATACAGAAAGGTCAGGGTCCTCTAGATGATTACTTAACAATGGAATATTCTATAAGAAAATGGCTTTGTTATCAAGGAGGAGCCTATAGAGATTGGTCCCTGGATCAGCTTGTTCTTCAAGTGAGTTACTCAGATTTGCTGAGCCAACAACTTGGGATATTAATCTCAAGGACTATCTGAATTTGCTTCTTCTTACTCTGAAAGGCCAGAGGATGGCATGAGGATTCAGAGAAGGTTTCCAAGAGGAGGACATTAGAACTGAATTTTGAAGAGGTTTGCAAAATGAGTAAGAGGAAGATCGTTCTGGTAAAGAGAAGAGCAAATAAGAGTAAATAGCATAAAAGACCCCTCATAGTCAGCACACTCCTGGAACTGCAAATGGTTCAGTGTCACTGTATAATAGTTAGAAGTACATAAGTCTTCAAAACAATGAGGAATTCATCAGCATATATTCTTTCTATTTAGCCTTCATTTGCTGATGTTGGGGAAAAGGAATTGCCAAATGACTAAGAAAACAAAGATGACAAATTCTACCTCTTAAGTTTAAAAAGCCACTGGTTTAGGTGTAGACCAGAAATATTCTGATGCATAGGTACAGACAGAACATTCTTGCTCCTTGTCTAGATAAAAATGGTTTCCTGGGAGAGGGGAAAGGAGAGATACCAAGTAGACAGAAGAAATCTTCAAACCCCAGGAAGCTACCAGGAGTCTCCAGAGACAGACGCTAAAAAGATGCAAAACAACACCCGGAGACTATTCTATCTTTGTGCAGTGACCCCTGAATCTCTTGATTCCATCTAGTGAGACCTGTTGATCAAAACTATCCTATTGCCTTTTGATTATCCAACAGGATGAAGGCCCTCTTGTGCCCTAAGACCATATTTAGCTCTTCAAACAGCTCACAACTTGAAGACAACTCCCATTTTTAAGAGCCTAAGATATTGCAAGTTCCTATGGACCGTGGACCTCCAGAGGGGTAGGGATGGTATGGGAAGGGGAGTGTGTCCAATGGTCAAATATGTGGTAATGGAGCTAAATACATGGTAGAATATCAAATATAGGGAGACTGTGAGACTAATATGTTTATTTTCCAGAATGGAATATCCACAGTAAGGAGGGTTTAGACAACTATGAGGAGGACCAGTCATGGTGAAAAGCAGTGAAATCTCTTGAAATCCTTTGGGACACTTATAAAAATCAGCATTGCAGGGGCACCTGGGTGGCTCAGATGGTTAAGCGTCTGCCTTCGGCTCAGGTCATGATCCCAGGGTCCAGGGATCGAGTCCCAGATCGGGCTCCTGACTCAGCGGGGAGTCTGCTTCTTCCTCTCCCTCTGCCTCTCCCACTGCTCATGCTCTCTCTCTCTCTCTGTATCTCTGTGTCTCAAATGAATAAATTAAATCTTTTTTAAAAAAAATTAATTAAGGGCGCCTGGGTGGCTCAGTTGGTTAAGTGACTGCTTTCGGCTCAGGTCATGATCCTGGAGTCCCTGGATCGAGTACCGCATCGGGCTCCCTGCTCGGCAGGGAGCCTGCTTCTCCCTCTGACCCTCCCCCCTCTCATGTGCTCTCTCTCTCATTCTCTCTGTCTCAAATAAATAAATAAAATCTTTAAAAAAAATTAATTAAAAAAAATCAGCATTGCAAATTCCTCTTTTTATTTATTTGTTTAGAATACCAAACGAAAAAAAATCTTTAGAAATCTTCATAAATGTATTTAAGAAAAAGGATTATTAATGTTAATTTCTTTTGCTCTAATTTTTACTATTGTGTAGTATGAATATCATTAAATGAAACACTGAATTCCAAATTATGGTATTTCAACCTGTGTTCATGCACTGATCTTAGTCTTTTGGATAAATTGTTTTTCTCTCCTGATTATCAGAATACTAAAAATACTTTAAAATAAAAGAATTCCAAATTTCAGGGAAAAAATACAAAAAAAAAAAGGAGAAAATCATATGTCATCCTAGCACCCCCAAAAAACCAGTTTTCACATTGTTAACCTGAGGCCTTTATTCCTTCCAGTCTTTTCATCATGTGATCTTTCTTTCATGTAGTTGAGATCATACTGTTGATAAAATTTTTCTTATTCTTTAACTTAAATATATCAAAAGCATTTGCACATGTTCTTGAAACCAAGAAATTGTTCATTTTCTAAACTTGTTTTACTCGTGGTTTTAATCATATGCTTGTCTCCACATATTTCCAGGCAGAGAGCAGGAACAAGGTGAAGTTCCTGGGAATGAGAACAGCCCCTGAAGATGTAACAGTGACTGGAAGGAAGGGAGTATATGGAGGTAGGATCGGGATACCTGTCTGCCTCATTGCCCGCTAGAGAGCACAGACTTTGGAATCTGTCTCAAATAAATCTCTGGTACCAGGTATGTTTGAGCATCTTAAAGGGCAGAGAAAAAGAACTTCATCAAACTTACAGAATAGATTTATGAACTGTTAGCACCTGCTTTGTTAATGAATTTTTCCTAATAAATATTATATGTGTGGAAAGTTTCATTTGACACTGGCTTTCATTATAAACCAGCAAGGTTTTGGGGGAGTAACCCTTACCATCTCAAATTTTATTGACAGATACTCTTTTCTACCAAGAAGAATACAAGAAAACTGAATTGCTTAGGAAAATTTGCAACAACTGCACAACTCCAGTGCATCAGTTCTCCAGTGCCCAGGATAGAATCTTGCTTCTCAGTAACAGCTTCCCCGGTATAGAAGCTGTGACTGCCACTTCAGCTTCCCTAAGGTTTGTGGATAAGGAATGGCCATGGGAAAAACAAAATGCTCTGTTACTATAATGTTGTTGTTGCCAGTGATGGCTACAGAATCCCTGCTGCCAAAACCATAAAGAAAGCCCCTGTCCTACCCAAACTGCTGAAATGATCTTTACTGTTGCTATCCAGAAGGTATTATAAACTAGGATTACACTAAGAGCCATTCTCTTGCCTCCCACCACCCCCCTCAATTCCATCCCCTCACACAAGAGAAACATATGGACCTAAAACCTTATACTTCCAATGCCTGACTCCACTCAGGGGATCCCCGTAGTAAGCCTACTTTTCCTCCTTTTTTCCTAGTTCCTTACAGAGCAATCCAAATTATACAGATCTTCATTTTCTTCCATTGGGAAACACATTACAGACTATTTTCCCCAGGCAGAGGATAAGACTAGCTAAGCATTACATTTATATTCAACATCTCTCATTTATTCAAGTCTAGTATTTAAGCAGGGATGGTATCCAGATCTCCTGAGAAGTTTTTTCAAAATAAGTATACCTACCCCCCTCTCAGAGAATCAGGTTCATTTCTCTTGGTGGGCCCAGGCATGTATAAATGGAAAAAATCCAGGCTATTCACATTTATAACCACATTTCAGAGGGGGGAGGGTCAGAGGGAGAAGCAGACCCCCCCCCCCGCTGAGCAGGGAGCCCAATGTGGGACTTGATCCCGGGACTCCAGGATCATGACTTGAGCCGAAGGCAGTTGCTTAACCAACTGAGCCACCCAGGCGCCCTTGATACACATTTTCAAAATACTTCATTTCCTAAAATTGTGGAAGAGCAGCCCTAAGATGTTCCCAGCTGTTTTTCTTGCATTCTTGGCTGCCATATTAGAATGGTTCATAAGGACTGGGGTTGCCTTTCTACTCCTCCTCTCTTTTTAGGTGGCCTGGCATAGACCAACCAGGACACTTTTTATCATATTTTTCTAGGTCTTGGATTACACAGGCAAATTGGAATATTGGGTTGGAGCAATAAATATCTTTCTGGTTGCACAAGCCTGGTCTCCAGGCTTGGGCTCCATGCAGTTCTGTACTTCACTATGCGGGGCAAGGAGCATACAGCTGAGAGGCAATGTTACCCAATCTGATGGTGACAAAATGGAATTGGTAAAAAATCAAGCAGGTCAAGAATTAAGAGTTGCTGAGGGGCTCATATAGGAAGGCAAAAGGAAGGGGAGGGAGTATTTGTGAGACCCTATTGGCCATGCTTGGCATATATTACAACATATTTGCAAACTCTAGGAAATCCCTGAGCTGGGCAGCACATGTTTACTGTGGCTTGTTATATAAGCCTGAGGCCTGTGGTATGGGTGTGCTGGGTTAAAAGTCTAGAGACACAAGAAGGATGAATAGAAAGGGAGGAATTGGCTTGTCTGGGGATATGCAATGAATTCTTCGGTACCACTGATATTAAAGAACAAGGCTACAACAATCTGCTCTTCTTAGAAATAATTCCCCTATCACTGAATATTCCAGAATCTCTGGGAAATTTGGTCAAATGAAACTCTTATTATTGAAACACCAAATATTCTGTTCATTTTTCAAACTTGTCATTTTTTCTCTGATAAGAAATGGATTAAGCTTTGTGATTATTTACCCTGTCACCACTTAAATGACTCATTTACAGTGCAGAACAAGAAGTGATTTTGTGGACAAAGGCTACATTTGTTTTTGGCTACATTTGCTTCCAGCTGACAAATATTCAGCATCCATGGTGTGCCTGCCCTGTGTGCTTTTGCACTAGGTGGGAAATATTTGACCTGTGTTTTCTTGTAAATCAGGAGATTCTAAACTTGCTTCAAAATAAGTGAAACTTTAAAATTATGCCATAGTTTTATCCTGCAAGGATATCCATTAATTTTTTGATCCAAATTCCTTGCATCATAGCAAGGTTTCAAAATTGCAAAATATAAATTTTTCAAGGGAACCTGGAAACCAGTTGTAAACACTTGAAAAACACGTAGTTGAATCCACAACTCAAAAAGCAATTTTTTAAAAAATTGTTTTTATATTCGTATCATTTTGGTACGAGCAGACAAACTTTCCCTGTGTCTACCTTCCTTCTTTTTGTGCATAATTAATTCATTTCCACCTTCATTCATCATTCATTCAGTAAGTATTCGTTGTGTTTGACATGTGCCAGGTACGGTGTTACGACCTTGAAATAAAAGGGTGAACATAAGTGGTCACCATTCCTACTTCTTGGAACTCTTAATCTGGCAAAAGACAGGCATTAATGAAAATACCACACATTTATAAAATTGCATTTTAAATGTAAAGTATTGTAAAGGAGAATGACAGCATGCCATGAATGAGTATAAAACAGAGATTTAACCTAGTCAGATGAATCAGGAAAGACTTCCTTAAGGATAGGAAGTGAGCTAAGATCTGCACAATAGGTAGGATTTATCTTGGCAAAGACACACAGCAAAGGGAAGAGCATGGACAAAGGCCATGTGGTCAAGGGTGCCTTTTGAGTTCAAGGACCTCAAAGAAGACCCAAGTAGCTGAAGTGAGAGAGCAAGGAGAAGCATAATAGGAGATAAGGCTGAAAAGGTAAAAGACAAGGCCAGATGAAGAAGACTTCCCCTCAAGAAACCCCTCTCACCCTCTTTGATTTTTTCCTTACCCAAAGCGCTCAATCATAGGACTCTTCATTCCCGAAAACACCCCAACACTTTCCCTATATCCATTACTTTCACCTAGAATTTCCTCCCTATCTCCATCACCTGTGATTTTATTCAATTTTCAAGATCCTGTTCAAATTCCATTTTCTCCATGAATCTTTTAGTGATGCCCCAAACAGAATTAATCTTACTCTTTCTCTTTGTATGAACTTTGCATGAACTTTGCATTTTTATTAGAATTTATCATATTCCAGTTTGCCTACATTTTTTTACATATATTTCTCCTTTTCCAAATTGGATGCACCTAGATGGTCGGAATCATCTCTTATTCATTGTATATGAAGCCTAGCATAGATCTTGGGTCGAATAGATGTCTAATAAATTCTTACTAAATTGCATTATAACACCAGACTTCTAGAAAATAAAAAGGCAAGTATGTTCTATTCTTTTCTTTTTTTTTAAGATTTTCTTTCTTTATTTTTGCGAGAGAGAGGAGAGAGCATGAGCGGGGGAGGGGGGAAGGCAGAGGGAGAAGCAGACTCCCCACTGAGCCGGGAGCCCAGTGCAGGACTCCATCCCAGGACCCTGGAATCATGACCTGAGCCAAAGGCAGAGGCTTAACCGGCTGAGCCACCCAGGTACCTCTATTTTCTTTCTTTTTAGGATGTCTTTTGTTTTAAGAAAAGGCAGTAGAGAACAGCAAACATAGCATTGTAGACAGAATCCAAATAGCTGCCTAATATTTATAAAGATTAACTTTATTTTAAAGAAGAAATATACTACTTATTGGCATGATGCATGGCCATTAACTTTCATACATGTACTTTCTGTAATCCTTTTTTATGCACATGCTTGTGCTGCATGCCATTACTGACTTCTTTTAGAAAATGTGATTTCTTAATTTACAATTATGCCTGAGGCTAAATGCAGATTTAGTATTTGTTAGTTTTAACCATGATGGAGTGGATTTAGGTATTGAGGTGAAATGGTACGTGACTGAGAGAAATGAAATTTAGGGATTAGTGTTAAATGTTGACAACAGACATTGTAATGATCTGTGGCAGTGGGGAATTACTCTTCAATATTATGACAGCAAAGAAAGACAGCAGCATCATTGCTAAGTAAGAGGGAGGGGAGAAAATTTGGGAGAACACAAAAGGAATCTGAACGTCCTTGGGTGAAACTGATTCAACAAAAGAAATTGCAAATGTTTTTAACAGCCTTTATGAAACACTGGGATTTTAAATTTTAGGCAGAGGCAGAGTGGTATAAGCTGAAATGGCATTGAGAGAGACAACAAAAATTATAAAGAGTAATGCGCAGTACCCACTGACAAGTTTTTAAACTGGGATCCACAGATCATTTCAAGGAGTCTGTACACAAATTTTGCATCTGTGTGTATTTTCAGGAGTTCATGAAAGTTAAAAAGCTCTGAGACTGGTATAATTTTCTATTTATTTAATCAAATACTTGGTCTGCTATTTACTTTTGAATACTTCATTTTAAACAGTGTGGTATAGTTGTGTCTATTACCTAGTTTTAATTGGCATTCTAGTGTAGCAGTTCACAGAGTGTGGTCCCACACACCACTGGGGTTCTCCAGGACCCATTTAGGTTAAAACTATTTCCATGATAATACTAAAAGGTCATTTACATTTTTTACTGTGTTGACACTTGCACTGTTGGTGCAAAAATAGTGGTCAATAAAACTCCTGGTGCCTCAGCATGTATCAAGGCAGAAGTACCTAAGGTGGTAGCAGTAATTATATTCTTCAGGTTCCAGTTCCATTTTTTTGGGGGGGGAATAGAAATTTCCATTTATTTTCAGTTTACCATAAGAACAACCTGTGTAGTCACTATGCTATCAGGCTAAGTGTTTGCCAAGAGAAATTGTCAAGAAAAATGGAGGGCGCCTGGGTGGCTCAGATGGTTAAGCGTCTGCCTTCGGCTCAGGTCATGATCTCAGGGTCCTGGGATCGAGTCCCACATCGGGTTCCCTGCTCCTTGGGAGCCTGCTTCTCCCTCTGCCTTTCTCTCTCGCTCTGTCTCTCATGAATAAAAAAAAAAAAAAAGAAAAATGGAGCACAAAACCACTAAACTCAAAACCTTTGAGTACACAGTAGCAAAATCTGTTACTTAGTGGACAGTGGGAGACAGGTGGGCCACACTAGCCACCAGTACTGACTCACACGGTGAGGGTCCCTTGAGTTACTGCCAGTGGGATACAGAGCAGACTCTTTCTCTCCCCTCTGCACCCATGCTCCTGTCAGCACAGCAGCTTCCCAGGGCTCCAAGTGATTGGGTCTGGCATCACAACTAAAGATCCCATCTCCTGCCAGTTGGGTTAGAGAATAAGTCTGCCTGGAAAGGAAAATTGGACGATCCATCCTTTGATGCACACCTACTTATATTGGACACCCGTATTCTCCTAGCCAACCAAAAGAAAACATCTCTTGAGGAAACCTAGGTCAGGAAGAATTTGCGGAGCTCCCCACAGATGCACACCTCCACTCCCGATGATGAGTTCACCTGACCAAGACAGCCCCTGTCTTCTGTGTCTGGGATCAGACTTCAGGAGTGCTGGTGATTGCAGGGGTCTGCCTGCCCTTCCACAAATGTCCTTCCTCCCTCCCTGCCCTTAATCCCTCTACCATTCCTGGAGACTTCATGATACACTCCTGAGTACCAACATAGTTTGTAGTGCACAGCCCTGCTCTCAGCACTCTGAACTGCCTGTGCCATGACGAAGACGAGGAGCAGAGAGTTTAGGGAATTCCAGATGGGATAAGACAGAAGTTTCAAATGGAAAAAGACTGTTTTGCCTAAAGCACCCACCCCTTGAAGGGATTCAAGGAGCATGGGGTATGGGCCAGCTGTAACAACAAAGTGGAGGACATACTCGTCTCTTGAATGC